CACCCATAATCCAGTTTGGGTCTAACTAGCATGTGATAAAGGTGTAGCAGTTCCTCGGTCAGCACCCCATTGCGTGTGCCCTAAGACTAAATAACGTATGCTGGCAAGACTCTTTGAGATAACAAATATGTGGCTGCCACATATGCCATTTGTTGAAGATATTGCCCAGGAAACGGGTCTGTGACCCTGCATACGACGACCGTAAAGCTAAAAACCAGGATCTGGGTAAACACCTCGAAGGCGGCAGAAATGCATGGCAACAGTCTTCAAAGGAGAAACGTGAAACCTTGTCTAGTGCAAGTTGCCTGCGGTGTTCAGCCACTGACATTCTGGAAGCTGCATACCAAATGGTCAAGTCATCAGCTTATAATGAGATTGATATACCACTTGGAACCGATACTGCTACCCCATTTATTGCAATGGCAAATAGAGCAAGACATTGCCCTGAGGAATCCCGTCCTCCTGAACATGTGGTGCTGACATTTCTGTGGCTTGCGGACCCTAAAAGTGTGACTCCCAAGAACTGACCTGTTATTGATGGTAAATTTCCTCGCATTCCAAAATTGTGTAGGTCCTTGACGATGCCAAATCTCCAAGCTCTGTCTTATGCTATCTAGGTCTAAAAAAAAATGCAGACAAGATGCTAGTGGCAAGAAAAAGCCTCACAGGCAGAGGACTGAAGATGAACACGAGCATCTGTTGTTGAATGCATCTTCCGGAGGGCAGATTGATGTGGTGAAAGAAGGGCATTCTTCTCCAGGTAGTATGCTAATCGGGAGTTGACCTTTTTAAACAGCTTGCATATACAGGAGTTCGGTGATATGGGGTGATATGTTAGAGGGTGAAGACCCTCTAATCCAGGCATGCATAGTTAAGTGGTTAGTGGAATGTGAACGAATTAATGAACAAGAAGCATGTGAAGCTGGTTGAAAATGCAGATCTAAAAGATTCTAGGTGGTTTGTAATATTTGCTATGAAATGAGACTTACTGCATGATGATCTAGAATGGAAAGAGTGAAACTTAAAGGGGCATGAAAATTTTGCTGATTGTTAAAATGACAACTCTGGATTTCTCGAATTACTTCAAATTTTAGCGCCACTTTCTTCATGCCATTCCTGCATGGACTCAAGTTTTAAGGATAGGTGGCAGCCCGTCTACGTGCAGTGGACAGTGTAGCCTCCAGACAAACATGTCAGTTATGCGTCTGGCTCAGTAAGCAAGAGGTGTGTGTGTGTGTCCCAGGCACAGTTTAAAAATGGCAACTTTGGCGTTTGTGCCGCTATCTCCAAATATTTATTACTTACAAACCTTCATATTTATTCTTTTGAAGTGATAAAGTGATGTGTATTGAAATATTTTCTAATTTGTGAGACATTGGTGGAATGGCCACGTAGCCAAGAGGAAGTTATCTCCAAATATATATGTTACAACCTCTGTATTTAATCTTATGAAGTGATAGTGATGTATATTGAAATACAGTGTGGTATGCTATAATGAATCTAATTGGTGCGAGAACCCTGTTCATTATGGCGTAGTTCGTTATTGGGGTAATCCGTTCCAGGCCCCCGGTAATACACCTCAACCTCATATTGTTTGCAACGATGCACCACCAGGTGTTGAGTATCAGCTAGACGGTACACGTGTTTTTCGAATCGTTTTCAGTTAAAAAACTGTTACATCACACATAGATTTTACCTTAACTGTGCCTGAATGAATATATTCTCAGAAATAAATTGTAGTTTTGCTGAAACGTGATGTATTTCAATGTAAAATAGGATAAAATACATGACGAAAACAAAAGACTTTACCTAACCTTCCGATGTTCAAGAGATGTTACTCGTTTTTTTTAATAGTTTTTTGTTAAAATACTGTTATATTACAATGATATTCTATTCATACTGTGCTTGATATAATACATTCACGGAAATGTAATAGTTTTGCTGAAATGATGTATGTATTACAGTGGAAAGTGGGATAAAACCATGACGAAAACAATCGACTTTCGCTTTCTTTCGTTGTTCAAAAGATGTTACCGTAATCGCTTTTGAATGGTTTTTAGTTAAAAAAACTGTTGTATTACAATAATATTCCCTCCTAATTGTCCTGAATAAATACTTGAATGGAAATATACAATATTGTTGCTGAAACTACCCGCGTTTCAGTGTAAAGTGTCGTAATAATGGTAAACAATTTGCCTTCGGCGCTCGGTGTTTCAGGCACCGCGACCCTCAGTTTATAGGACACAGTGTTTTTAGTGAAAGTTTTGCTGTTCCATTACCCTCAAAAACTTGGGTCGTCCTATAAATGAGGCATATGATAGATTAATGATATCTTGGTAAAAAAATCAGGGTCGACCTATAAACGAGGTAGAATTATAGACGAGTACGTATATACGGTAAATGTGCATTTAAACTTCCGAACCAATATTCATCCGCGTTCGCCGTAGAATTTTCGTATGTTTTAGCATTTTCAATTTTATAGGGAAAACCGTTCGTTATATAAACCGTTCGTTATGACAAACCCCACTGTAGTGAAAGATTTTTTAGTTTATAAGACGTTAGGTGCAATGGCTACTCAATAGTCGCATATACCACACAAAAGCAGGACGTTAGGACTCTCAATACTGTAGTCACATATGTACCGCACAAAAGCATGTCGTAATATATAGGCCTAGCTGGAAAATTAATAATTTATAGTGAAATGTAGTGCAGTAGAGGCATGCATATGGTGAATTAAAATGAATATATTGTGCTTATTTGATACATATTCGTAACAGCATCACCATTGTCGTGCATATGCCAAGGCCTATACAGGTGCCCCGTCTCAGTGGGAAGTGAAAATATTATTGCCAAAGTTTCAGTTTTGTCACAGAAACTTCTAACTCATTTATTTCTCTTCCTTAGTATGTGTACATACATAATCCATCATAAAAAAATATTTTCAAAAGATTTTTATTAAAAAACTACAGTAGGCTCTTACTAATAACGTTTAATAGGTGCCTAAAAAACACTGTTATTAGCGAAAACGTTATTTGTGTGACATTAAAATACATGTAAAAAGGGTTTATTGGTGCCGCCGCCACAAGAATTTCACCCATTTTTTCCCCTTGAAGCCCTCCTAACACTTTTTGTTAGCTGAAATAAAAAGAATTGCTATTCAATCATCAAAATAAAGAGTTTGAGTAATATAACACTTAGCTTGGGGGAGTTTTTGAGGTGCTTGGTGTGATGATTGCTCCGTATCTGAGGGCCGCTAACACTTGCACTGTCTTTCATTCTACTTGCTAACCACTTCACAAGAATTTGCTCTGTTATCACTAACAACCTGTTTCTATTGCCTTTATCATTCATAGCTCGCCTCGCATTTCCATCACTACCGAAATATTTTTAGCCAGCGCAAAACTCTTCTTGGTCTCCTCTAAGTTCCTCTTAATATTTCGCACTGTAGACTCAGGACAGTTCAATTTCCTCACTTTAAAAGTTCCCAGTCATTTAGGTGGCAAATCACTCCCTCCACCACCTCCCCTAGCCCCCATAGGCAAAAATGCGGAGGCCATTATTGATCACCGACCCTAACAACCACTGGTTATAGAGGCGAAAATCTCACGTGGGCACAGCGCTGTATTCCACTGAGTGTGTGTGAGAGTGAGGCAGACCGGACAACTACGTCATCAACATGGCGGCAAACTAGCGTTATTATTGATGCGCTCGGACGCTTCCCGTGAAATTTCCGTTATTCAAGAGAATCCAGACATTATTATCGAAAATGGGTATCTATTGTAACTTACCGTTATTGTCGAAAACGTTATTGTGGAAGTCGTTATTGGCGAGAGCTTACTGTAGCAAGGAAAAAATATATAAACATTTTGGTGACTGCACTTAAGCACCACTGTTTTTTTCTGCATCTCCTTTACTTTTTACATTTTTTTTTTTTTTTTATATTACATCACTGTCTTCCTCATGATTTACTCTTTCTTGCCATGTACATTTTATACTGACTGATGTAATGATGTGGGTACAGCATGAAGACGAATGAACAGTAACTCTCTCTCTTCACTTATACTCGCCAAAATGGCTTTTGTTTATTATTTTATTTTATTTTTGAGGGTTTCATATGATTTTCCAGCCTTTTTAAATAGGAAGGCATCATTTGAATAAATATTTGACAACATCTTAGCCACAAATAGAGCTTTGGAAAAAAAATTTCTTCACGATTTCTTGTCATTCTGTGAGCCCCAAACAGCAAGTGACGGGCAATCTCGAGAGTGTTAATATGTATTGTTTGTGTGAGTGAAATGTCAGTTAGTGAGAAATCTGTTCAGTATTGGGTCTTGGGACAGGGTCTGAAACCTATTCCTCTTAGTTCCATGGTAAATGAGGTAGCTTTAAACGAATTTGCTTTGAACACCTTATTCCTCAGATAAATTGAGGGAGTACTGTATTATGCTTGTGTAATACTGATAAGTATAACAGCTAGATAACAGCCCACCTCTGAGAGTGGTATACTGTATATTCCTTGTGAGGATAGACATCGACTTTTATAATGAGTACAAAGTTATTTACTGTAGATGTAAAAAGATAAGTAGATTTAAATTATAGACAAGCCCAACAAAGGGAATCTGGATTTTTATGGATGTAATCTTTGCAGTTCATATTTATATCATACATATTTGATAAAATAAAAGTATTTTGCTTCTTAATATACAGGGTGCACTATAAACACCTGACGGTTTTTAAATGAAATAACATTATAATGCAAAGTGGAAAAATTTATTAACTCGTATAGATACATTCCCATGTCCATGGAGAATTAATTTCAAACTGCGAACAATGACTGTTAGTATAGAAGCACGCCCTAGTCGGTAGGCTGGTTTAAATTGAATAAACAGTCAGGTGTTTATGGTGCACCCTGTATAACAAAATTCAAATAGTAGTTATAAAAGAAAAAATACAAACCTATCATGAAGATTATATGATTATTTCTGTGTTTTTGCCAACAGGAGGAGGTTTCAGAGTATACAAATGGTTTGGTGGTTGAAGAGGCAGAAGAAGTTACCCCCATTTCTGAGGTAACAGTGAGCAGTCCTGTTACAGAGGGTCCACCTCCAGGTCTGGCTCCTCCCACAGTAGCCCCTATGCTGCCTCCTCCTGTACCCCAAGAAACTACTGCTGTTTCTCCTGCACAAGAAGCATTAGTAGCTGCTATGGCACAGATGACTACAGCAGCTGTACCAGGGGCTTCCCCACAAGGAGCAGGGATGCCTCCTGCACCCTCCTACTTTACACAATCTCCTCCACAACCAACACCACAGCCTCCTCCTCCACAACCACAAGCCCCACAGCAACCACCTCCACAGCAGACACCTCTACAACCTCCCCAACCACCTCAGCTGCAGCCTATTTCCTTAAATGATTTGGTAGCTCCTGGAAGTTTTGATTTCTTGCAAGAAAGTCAGGTAGCACAGGAGCCACCAACTGTTTATATGGATCCAGCTGTTGTATCCATTGGTAGTATCAAAACAGATTCTGTATCACAAAGGTCTGTCTCACCTGTACCACAGCCACCCCAACAAGTTGCTCCTATGGTTCCACCTAACCAGGACCCAACACATCCATCCAGCATTCCTACTCAGACATATACAAATCAGACATACAATGTAGTGTCTTATTCCCAAGGAGTACCAGTTTATCCAAATAATACGGTAGTGGATAGCACACCAAATCCTCCTCCTCCAATTCCTATGCCTCCACAGGCCAGACCACAAGAAAAAGTAGAGTTCAATCCAGAAGCTAGCCCTTGGACTGGGCAGCAGGTGCCTGCACAGCAGACTGGACAAGCAATTTCTAATGTACCACAGCAACCTCAAGAGGACAACTGGGGAGTTCAAGATGTTCCTGTAAATGGAGGGGATGACAAATGGTGTAATGCCGAGTCTGGCAACTGGGATGAATATGAAGAAAATCAGGGAGGTACAGTCCCTGTTCCCACAAATGGCCATGGAGGAGATTATGAAAGAAGAGGTAATTTCCGAAGTAGAGGTCGAGGATTTGGGGGCAGAGGAGGATTTCGAGGTGGTCGTGGTGGATACCAGAATGGCCGTGGAGGCTATGGAGGATATGGAGGCTTCAGAGGTGGACGTGGTGGTGGAATGGGAGGACCTCGAGGAGGACGTGGATTCAGAGGACAAGGTCCCCGTGGAAACTTCCGAGGCCGAGGTGGTGGATACCAGGGTCAACGGCAACCCTACCAACAACATCAGCAGTAAAAAGAAAAAAAATAAAGCCAATTATTAGCTGTGTGTGATGAGAAATATTGCTACATGTGTATTGTGACACTAGAAGTGTTTCACTTTGTTGCACAACGTACTGACCTGGCACTACCTCTGATATGAGGTAGTGCCTGAACCTAGGAATGTAAGCAGTGAGCGGAGAGACAATATAGGGCATTCTTTACGGGACAATGTAAGTGTGATACATGATAAAAGTGAAAAATTTGCCAAAAAAGAGAAGGAAAATAGAAAAACTTGAGTTCTTCTGAACTCAAAAAAAAAAAAATATTAATTTCACTCTAACTATTCCATGACTTATAAAGTTATACAAAGATTTTTTTTTTCCTATAAATTTTATGGAAGCACTATTCCTGGAGTATGGGGGAGGGGTGGAGGGTGCACTTATGCTCCCCTCTCTTCCAGGTGGACTTGGACCACTTTGTCACTCTTACACTATCAAGCTGTCAACGCTTCCAATACATTATCATTTACTGCACCCTCAGAGTTTCTATTACCCTTTTCAATCCATGCGATACTGAGGGAAGGATGAAGCCTAACAAAAATTATTGGGCAAGATGATGGTTGTGACAATTATTCAATTTGGGCTATTGATAATGTAGATGTAGTTGTTCAAACTTGATCATACTTCAGAACATCGAACCTTGTGGAACAAATATCAGTAAGATCTGAAATGAGGTAATGGAGTAGATTATGAGCAGACCAAATGTACTTTATAACAATAAGGAGTTAGTTTTAAGTGAGATTGTTAGGGTGCTTTCTTTCATTCTAACAAACTATGAGGCTAGAAGTCATCATAAATGTATATGCAGTGTTTTACCATTGATAGCCTGCATGGAAGCAGGGTTTGTATAATTATATTTACCCACCCTTGCCTTATTTCGTAATGGTCAGTAAGTATATATTTGTACAGTGCAAATTTCAGGACTTCTGTTCCCAAGAAATTGTCCTACAAGGGGCTCAAGAAAACATTTCCTTGACTCTGAATAACATTCTGTGATTTTTAGTTTGTTATTTTCTTTTCCTAAAAATTTATGTATCTAAGCAGGTGTAATTATACATATGCAATATGGGAATTTTACCTTCAATGCTTATTGAAAACTATTATCTTCGCTCATTAAAGGGAAATTTAACTAAGAGTTTTTTGCTTTAGTCTCGAGTATTAATCCTACAATCTATATACAGGCAATCCATGATTTATGAAGGTTGGGGCAATTTGCAAAAAAAAAAAAAAATCAGTTATGTAACTTTTTGTCATTTTTGTAATATTTTCTTAGGCAAAAATGAAGATATGCAAAGGTAATGCAATTGATTTATACTACAATTATGCTTACTTATTTCACTAACAATTCATTATTCTTTAACACTCACAATGTTATTAATTCTACAAATAAGCTTTCAATGTGTCATAATCTCCTATAATCACCATAAAACTTAATCCTCAAACTCATTGGGGACAAGTAGACTCATCTTCACCAGCACAGTCAATCAGTTGCCTGATTATCCAAATTATTCTCATGTAAAATGGTATGTGACAAATTAAACAAAATAAGATTATTCTGTATTCTTAAATTTTATATGCTAATTATGTACAGTACTGCAAAAGTGTAGAGCTGTTAGAGAGAGTGTAGAATTTGAAAGTGTAGATATTGCTGGCAATGCATGAGATAGCTTGGGTGTGTAGTGTCAGCTGACTGGCATCAGCATTCACACCATGTAAACAAAGCGGCATGAATTTAGGATGACAATAACTCCATAGAGATGGAGCAAGGGATATTCTTAGAGTTCGTAACTCTAATTATAGAATGGAAATCAATGTATTACTACAGGAAACCCTTGGTATAACAGACACTATATCATGGAATCTGGTAGTATGGACATTTAAAGTTCCTAAACCTATCGAACAAACCCTCGAGATAATGGACAGGTGTCCATTAACTAGGGTAGTTGTCCATTAGTTCGACACTATAAATACTAACTGGGCGACCTGTACTGTAACTAAAAATAAAACACTGTACAGTAAGCAGGAGTTAAGTACAGTAGTAGCTAGTCATACCACAATGGAGCACAGTGAAGTGACGTTTATAGCATGGCATGGCCTTTAGGTCTTTCTCACTGGTTACTAACCAATTGGTTATGTCTTATCAAGGGATTACCTGTATTGGATAATCAGTTTTCACAGATTTTCAACTTTAGCAACCTTGGTTCTCTCCAATTAGTCCATTATCCTGAGGGTTTACTGTACATTAATATATTTATTACAGATGTTGACTTTGCATTTTATACTGTTCACTTGGTTAAAAATCTCATCTGGTTTCTCAGGATTATAGTATAGGTATAAAATTATTACTGTGCTGCATGTATTTCACTTAATATGTGCATTACCGGGTATTGGCTTATAATAATTATTGTGTCTACCCCCAAAAAATCAATATATTTTTTTTCCTTGGCTTCTTCTTCTAGGCACTTATATCAACTTTTTTATTGGGTGTCTATGGGAAATTATGATCCAACTTATGAAAAATCAAATTACTAAACATTTTTCTGGGACAAAGCCCTTTTGTAAATCAGTAATGCCTGTATATAATATTTGGTATAATAATTTATTAATAAATTTTGTTTACTGTTTGATTACTATGGATATGTTGGCAGATTTTTTTTTCTTTCTTTCTGCATTTCAAGTGATGACGAACTTAATTTTTCTTGGTCTTTATTTCAAGAGAAAATGGTAATGCCCAAAACATCTGCAGTAGATTTATGAATTTAGGAATGGCTGTTACCTCAAGGTAAACTGTCAAAATTGCTATTACATGAATATTTCTGTAAAGGGTAAGTTCTTGGCAGAAGGACAGGCAAAAGAACATTTAGCAAATGAGGGGGAAAAAAAATGAAAATGTTATTGATTGGTGTGTGAAAATTTACAAAATGCATCTGGAAAATGGGTTACCAAGAATTGGTAATCCCTGTACAGTATATTACCTTGGATACACCCTTCACCAATACCTAATATTGCATATGTGTCCCAAGTAGAGGAAGAGTATGTTCAAGAGGATATATTGGTCAGTGAATATCTTTCAATTGCTTATAATTAGTGTTATTGCAAATAGTCTTATTGTAAAATTTACTATTTATTATATTGAATTAATTTACTTAAAACCCAAATGGGATATTTTAGCTATTAATAATACACTCAGCAGCAGTTCATCCTGTACCTCACTCACATTACCAGAAGGCTTTTGATCCACCATTCAAAAAAATTATTTTATCAGTAAATTAGTTTGATAAATCGTGCGAACATAACGGAAAGGTCTATTTAGGTAGCAGAAATTTAAATTTTACGAATGGGTGACTTGAATTAGTTCGTTAAATCAAGTAAATACTGTAGGCTCTGAACCTTTGTAGTGCTTCGGCTAATGAGCAAAGGATATTCTACCATCTTCAAAAAGAGATGAACTTTTATGGGAAGGATTTGCTGTATAATGGTAATGGTGCGTCAAGTTATAAATGTGTTATAACCAATTGTGTACTAGAGATTGTAATGCCGAAGTTCGTAAAACACTGAATCTACAACACTAACGATATTGGATTGCTTATAAATTCTGGATAGGTGATCATATAATTTAGTAGGGATCTAACCTTTGTTTGCTGTTTTGTAGACGAGCTGTGTTCTCCTTTGAATGTTTAACACCTGAAGGCTAGGGTGAACCCTGCTCTTGAGTCAATAATGTCATCGAGTAGTTCAGGTGTCATCCGCAGCCTTTTTATTGGAGGCTGTATTAATACATTATGGATACAGTACTAGAGTTGAGCACTTGGAGGCTTTATTAATACATTATGGATACTAGAGTTGAGCACTTGGAGGCTTTATCAACACATTATGGATACTAGAGTTGAGCACTTGGAGGCTTTATCAACACATTATGGATACTAGAGTTGAGCACTTGGAGGCTTTATCAACACATTATGGATACTAGATTTGAGCACTTGGAGGCTTTATTAATACATTATGGATACTAGAGTTGAGCACTTGGAGGCTGTATTAATACATATATGTACTGTATATACTAGAGTTGAGCACTTGGAGGCTGTATTAATACATTATGGATACAGTACTAGAGTTGAGCACTTGGAGGCTTTATTAATACATTATGGATACTAGAGTTGAGCACTTGGAGGCTTTATCAACACATTATGGATACTAGAGTTGAGCACTTGGAGGCTTTATCAACACATTATGGATACTAGAGTTGAGCACTTGGAGGCTTTATCAACACATTATGGATACTAGATTTGAGCACTTGGAGGCTTTATTAATACATTATGGATACTAGAGTTGAGCACTTGGAGGCTGTATTAATACATATATGTACTGTATATACTAGAGTTGAGCACTTGGAGGCTGTATTAATACATATATGTACTGTATATACTAGAGTTGAGCACTTGGAGGCTTTATTAATATATTACACTTTAAACAAGAGACAATATTTGTAATACAATACCATAATACAATAAAGTACACATTACGGTATGAACTACCGTACAGATACTAGATTATGATATAGTACATAATATAATAGAACTAAGAGGGTAACACAAGAAGCCAGAAGATGTCTGGGGTCAGGTTGTAATTAGGTTGATTAATCTTCTGTAGTATGTGGTCTACAGAGCTGGAGCTACTGTAGTATATGGTCTACAGAGCTGGAGCTACTGTAGTATATGGTCTACAGAGCTGGAGCTACTGTAGTATATGGTCTACAGAGCTGGTGTTACTATAGAAGCTACAGCTTTGTAGACTGCATACTATAGAAGCTACAGCTCTGTAGACTGCATACTACAGTAACTCCAGCTCTGTAGACTGGATACTATAGTAACTCCCAAATAACAATATCAGCATCTATTTGGATTTTTTCAATCATCTTTTGGTGTTGTCTGGGGGTGGTGATGATGTAGCCTCTGTCATCTGGTGGTGGTGATGTAGCATCAGTCATCTGGTGTTGGCGGTGGTAATGTAGCCTCAGTCACCTGGTGTTGTTCAGATAAAACTGTTACCTAGTTCAAGATAAGGCCAGGCCAAAGTTCAAATATTACAAGGGAAATTACAATGGGATGTGGGGAGGGATGAGGGGTATCCACTGGCCTGACTCATTAAGGCACAAGAACGCAGACACTACGCTGAATATCATAACTAGTAAAGTGACCCATTTGATCGATAAATTATACCCAAGACCAAACCCAGTGCTTCTAGGAATACGAGGGGATCCCAACACATGAACCATGCAGCGGTCGACAAAGTTAAGAAGAAAACCCAGAAACTCAAGACGTGGGATGGGTCAAATGATGAGCAGGACAGGAGGATGTATGCAAGAGCCAGAAACCAAGCAAAGATGGAATATAGAAGGGCTGAAAAGGAGTTCCAGAGGCTGGTTGCAAGCGAGGTCAAGTCAAACTCAAAAGCGTTTTACCGCTATGCAAAGTCGAAATTGAAAACGCGAGTAGGGGTATCAGACCTGAGGCTTGAAGATGGTAGTTACTCAGATTCTGATCAGGAGAAAGCTGAGGCATTGAACAGCTTCTTTTCCTCGGTGTTCACGAGAGGATGCGATTAACCTTCCTGCGTTTGAGGACAGACGGTTCGATACAGCAGACCCACATTGTGTTCACAGAAGAGGCTATTAGAAATAAACCATCAAACCTAAAGGTCCATAAGAGTCCCGGCCCTGACATGGTGTATCCTAGAGTGCAAAGTGAGTTGTGCAATGAGCTTGCCGAGCCCCTGAAGATCCAGTTTTGTAAATGCCTGGATGAACAAAAGGTCCCCAGTGAATGGAAAGTGGCTTATGTGAGTCCTATCTTCAAGAAGGGCTATCGTCACTCCACGAATAACTATAGACCGGTCAGCCTGACCAGCATAATATGTAAAGTACTTGAGAGTATTATCGGAGATGTCTTGCATTCAATCAGTTCCCTACTGTGTACTGCTATCAATGCTACTCCCCATGAGAA